CCAACTCAATTTACAAAAATGCTACCACTTATGTCACTATAGGAATAGAATAGCACTATACTTCCAGGTATTACTCTATGTTCTTTGGTAGTAGGAATACACTTCCTTCCTCACTTTTCTGCATTTTCAAGTTTTTCTACAATAGACACACAGGGCCAGGAAGATGGCTCAGTAAAATAAGTGCTTGCTTGGCAAGGGCCTGAGTCCAATCCCCAGGTCCGAAAAACAAAACAAAACAAAACATACACATTAGTTCTGTAATCAGGAAAAAATTACTTCCAAAAACTTTTGAAAGCATTTTATATATAATATTTTATAGGTATAAAACTTATTGCTTCCCTGATCCTTAAATGCATTAGGGAAAGTTTTTATTGGAAATAACCATTAATTTCGTGTTTATTATTATTCTGTTTATTTTACCCAAGATACACAGTCACTAGAACATTGTATGACCCCAGTACATGTAAGTAAACTTAAAGCCAACTCTCTGGTTGGTCCTAAAATGCCTTTGGCTGCCACTTTTTTATTGCCTGGAATGCCATTTTCCATCTCTCATTCCTTTTTTTTTTTTTTTTTTTCAGAACTGGGGATTGAACTCAGGCCCTTGCGCTTGCCAGGGAAACGCTTATTCTACTGAGCCATCACCCTGGCCCCACCACTTTCCATCTCTACCTTCTTGTCTTTCATTAAATGAGTTCTTATTTATTTCAGCTTACGTGCCACTTTTCTCTCTTACTCCCCCAATTTTTATTTGACTGTCCCAGTCTTAGCTGAGTTCTCCATGGAACTTCCTAAATTAGGAAGTTCTTTTACTACAGAAAAATTACTTACACTTTACTGAGCTTTTTTTTTTTTTGTCCTTGCCATCCTACATGAATGACAAAAAAGATGGAACTGGAAAGGGTTTATTTGTAGGTTAAGGGACAAAAGTGAACAGTGACTGGCTCATAAATAATATTCTTAAAAAGTATTTGGAGAATTATTCTGACAGGTTATCCCAGGAATCTATAAAACAATTGATAAACTCACTATAATTCTGAAGGAAAATTTTTTCTTTATGTATTTCTGCATATTAGCCACCAGCATAGTTTTTTTTTTTTTTTGCTTTTCAATTATATAAAGATTATCATAGGGAGTTTTGATTAAAAACACTTGCCTGCATTTATATAACATGTTTAAAGAGTGAACTAAGTAAACTTAAGGAACAATTTTCATGTTTTATTGCTGCACTATTGATACTTTGGCTATTTAAGATGCAGCTTAATATGAGCACATCAAGTTACTGTTGAAAATTGATAGAGATCAATATTGTTTTTCCTCCAAACTTTACTGAGAACAAAATAATTGTGTACTATTGTTTGTAATATTTTAAAACAACTAATATTTACACTGCTTTACTATAAAAACGCTTAGCTCTTCAGCTCACGACAGTGGATGCCAGTTCCCACTAGGAATAATCAGTGCCAAATGGAATGTGCCTCCTCCACATCTGAAAATTGAGGCTACTATCTAAAAATCTATTTTTAAATGGGCAGATAACACGGTATGCTTTTATTTGGTACAACATATTTTGAAGAATATTTTCATTGTAGAATGATACTCTTCTTCAAAAATACATCATCAAGGACCTCGTGTGTGACTTGTGGAGTCGGCGTTTGCAGCTGCGGAGGGTTTGGCGAGATGTCTCACACTATTTTGCTGGTGCAGCCTACTAAGAGGCCAGAAGGTAGAACTTACGCTGACTATGAATCTGTTAATGAATGCATGGAAGGTGTTTGTAAGATGTATGAAGAACATCTGAAGAGAATGAACCCCAACAGTCCCTCTATCACATACGATATCAGTCAGTTGTTTGATTTTATTGACGATCTGGCAGACCTCAGTTGCCTTGTTTACCGAGCTGATACCCAGACATACCAGCCTTATAACAAAGACTGGATCAAAGAGAAGATCTACGTGCTCCTTTGTCGGCAGGCACAACAGGCTGGCAAATAATGGAGTTGGAAACAGCAGGGGCTGGGGGCGGGGCTTGGAGCACAGGTGTGTGCAGTGCACTGCCCTGGAGCGCTGTCCTGTGAGCCTCTTTCCACTTGTTTCACTCTAGCCAGGATTGAATGCGTTAGATGAAATGTGAGGTGTGAGGATCTTTTCAATCCAAAACCCCCATTGAACCCTTTTTCTTTTTTCTTTTTTTTTTTTTTTTACTTAAACATTTTTATGATTCAGAAGGCAGTTGTTCCTTGTCGATATTGGTTCCAGTCCTTCAGATTGTTCCTATCTGCTTTATAACATTCACAGTACTAATCTTTTAAGATGGGGTAGGGGATGATGACAAAGTTTAGTTATGTCCTCAAGAAAAAGTCTTAGTGAAAATAAATGTTCTTTAGTTATATTTTCAAAAAAAAAAAAATACATCATCAACCACAAGTGAGCTGTTGAAATTTATCCCTTCTAGCTGACTAATTATATATCCTTTGGAGAAACGTTTTTCCTGTAGCCACATTAGCCTCTGACAACCACCATTATATTTCTTATTTCTATAACATAGACCAACTTTTTTAGATTCCACATGTGAGTGAGATCATACAGTATTTATCTTTCTGTCCAACATTTCATTTAACACAATGTCCACATTTCATCCATGTTGTTGAAAATGGCAGGATATCATTATTTTCAATGGTTGAACATACTACATTTTCTTTATAATTTATCCATGGACAGAGACTTGGGTCAATTCCCTATTTTGGTTGCTGCAACTAGTGCCAAAATAAACATGGAAATGTAGTTGTCTCTTTAATATACTGATTTAATTTCTTTTGATCTATACCTTGTAGTGGGACTGGTGGGTTATACCAATTTCTAGATTTTTGAGGAAGCATCACTATTTTCCATAATGGTTATACTAATTTACATTTCTATCAATAGTGGAATGATGTCAGTTCTCTGCATCTGAATCAGGACTTCTGTCTTTGGATAGCAGCCATTCTTTTAAGTGGGGTTAGGTAATATTTTACTGTGGCTTTGATTTCCATTTTCTTATTATTAGGATGTTGAGCAACTTTTCATATAATTCTTGGCCATTCATATATTATCTATCTATCTATCTATCTATCTATCTATCTATCTATCTATGTATCTCTATTTATCCATCTGTCTATTAATGTATTTAGTACAGGGCCTACAGGGTCTCAGTACACTATGAGTCTCAGAAGGGACTCATAGTGATTCTCCTGTTTTCAGCCTACCAAGTGCTGGGACTACAGGCACATGCCACCATGCCCAGTCTCAATCTCTGGCTCAGTGTACCCTGAGGGTGGGCCACCAAGGCACATGGAGATCAAACCTGGTCCCTGAGACTGCCTAAGCAAGCACTTTAATCTGCTAAGCTGTCTGGCCAGCCCTCATATATTTTCTTTTGAGAAATATCTTTTGCCCATATTTTATTTTTTAAAGAAAATAGAAAAAAGTTAAAAAAAACCCATTAGAAAAGATATAGAATATCACTAAATAAAATGATAGGAATTCAGCAATGATTGTTACATAGCAGACTGTTTTCGTCAAATCTGTTGAGAATACCAGATATAAATCTGTAAGACTGGTCAAAAAAAGTATAAAAAGTTAAAAAAGAGAGAGAAAAAAAAACAATTTAAGTGTTCACTGCTCCTTTTAATACATAAACAGAAATCAACAATACAAAATTATTCAAGCTATCATATATATATATTTCTTTTCCCATTCCTTTTTTTTTTTTTTTTTTTTTCCCTTTTTTTTTTTTTTTTTTTTTTTTTTTTGTGTGTGGTATGTGTGTGTTTGTGTGTGTGGCCAGCTCAGCCCACCAGTGGGCGGGGCTGGCTGGCATGTGGCGCTGGGGGATTGAACCGTGGTCCCTGTGTTCTGCTAAGCTTGTTCTAAGTACGTGCTTTAGACCACTGAACCATCTCACCAGCCCCTCCCATTCCTTTTTGGGCTGTTTTTTTTTTTTTTGTCTATTGCTATTGAATTGGTTGAGTTATTTACTTTGGCTATTAAACCACTGTTAGAGTTACAATTCACAATTATTTTTCTAACTTTGTAGGTTATCTCTTCTCTCCATTGATTATTTCCTTTACTGTTTAAAGCTTTCCAGTTTGATGTAATATCATCTGTCTCCTTTTGCTTTTGTGTACTATGAAAAAGATCCTGAGCCCTGGTCAATGTCATGGTTGACACTGTTTCTTCCCCTGATTTCTTTTAGCATTTTGTAGTTTACAGTCTCATATTTAAGTATTTAAAAAATAATGAGTGAAAGACAGGTTACTCTTAAAGTAAAAATAGGAACTCAACAATGAAGAAAATCATGCAAAGAAATTGTTTCTGAAAATGTTTAAGTATCCAGGATCATTCAAGCCCCATCAATGTCCAGCAAACAATTAAATATAAATGAAACTGTAGCACAATAAGATATCTAGTAAGTTCTCTAAAGAACAAGAGTACAGAACAAGAGGAATAAGGGTGTTTCTGTGTAGATTTTAGAAAGAGCATCCCCCAAAGAATACAAGATCCATGAAATCTATCTTTTATCATGTTTATATTGTTCACATATCAGGAACAAAATGAGTAAGCACCCATCGATGTTTAGTGGTATCATATGTAGTGTCTCTAGGAGATCCCATTTATGTGACCAATTGCCCACTGGAATGCTCAGAGTGGCAGAGAAAAGTACAGCAGCCAAAGAAAGTTTATGCACAACATGCTTAGGTTAGGGAGGAAGGAAATTTCAATATCACAAAGTGAAAGAATATTTTAGAAGACATATTAAAGAAAATAAAAACCTGTAGAAAATAAAGTTTTTACCAAATAAATGAGTAAAACACAAGACCAGTTATCCAGTTATAAACAGGAAGATTTTGGCCCAAATCTCAACCACAGAAGTAATTGGCATTTATGTGATTTGAAAATAATGAGAACTGACAATATTTAAATCAAAATATTTCACATGAAGATTTGCGTTCTTGCTTTACCTGGGAAACTGGACAATGTGGTTACACTAGGTCAACATTCCTGCCTTACAACAATTATCTGGAATGGAGCAGCAGCTGCTCCTTTAGAAAGGACTTGGATCTCCAGCTCACAGAGGCAGTCTTCTTGCTTCATTCCCACCAGTCTGGCCTCTGCAGGCATTGGGGTTTCCAGCTTCTGGAATAGAAAGGACCTTGAGGTAAGGACTAAAGGATTCAATGTAGCCCTTGATAAGATGTGCAACTCATTTTTATTGATCACTTACCTTAAACTTCATAGTTTCTTCAATAGGGTATAGTATGAGTTCTCAGAAATTATGTATTATTATTAGTATATGTCAGGACACCAATAAAAGAGCTACCATGAACTTAAGAAAGTAACTTTCTTAATAAAATTTATTTGGCCCTGAGACTGTGATGATTCTTGAGTTAAAGGATGTAAACTGTACAGAGAACTTCACTCACTTTCAATGGTCCATCACCTCCTTCTTGGGAACATTATCAACAATAACACATTACCATTATCTCAGGAACGCAAATTGGGGTCAAAGAATTATAGAATCAAACTGTACAATGAATTAAGATACATCAAATGCTGAAGATTTCACTCCCTAGATTTAATGAATTGTTTTAACAAATAAGAAAAACAATTGTAAGGTGCTTCAGTGGTGTATTTAAGGCTTTATATCCTTTATTTCCTTTTAACCTTCAGGGAGATAGGAGGTACTTGCTATTAAGTGCTGTGTGATGAGTTTTACTCAGCCTTGGTGACATAATTCTGATGGGCATTTAACTTGTTTTGTTTTAAGCCACTGGACAATCTTTTGATTATCTGATAGATTTCATAGGTATTTAATTCCTATACCAGGTAATGTATAAATAAGTTACCTGGTGTGCAAACTTGGCTTTTGTAACTATAGATGGTCTGTATTAAGATCTAGAAACCCTTTACTATTGAGAGGATATGTAAAGTTTTTTTTTTTTTTTTTTAATCAAGTTTTTTTACTTGAAAGAGCTAAAGACTACATCCTGGACCACAGTTATTTCACCTGATACTCTTTGAGATCTTCCCTAGTAGTCACTCTACTAGTCTTCTGTTTTGTCCATTTTTAGCGCCACCTTCCTCTAACATCATTATTAAAAACTAGAAACTATTTTGAGTCAGAGCAGAACAAGGGAATATGAAGTACAGAAAGTAGCAGCATGCTTTAATGGTACTGTTACTCAGAAAATATCCCAGACTGACAAAGGACAACCTAATGGGTGCAGAACAAGGGTGACAATCCTGACATGCTAAATGCACTCCAGGATTTATATGCAAGGTTTTAGGTACTTACGGAGCACCAATTCTGTGTGAGGCACTGTGATGGGCACTGGAAACTCAAACACGAAGAGCCTACTTCCTGGGGTGGTGGTGGTGCTAGTGTGGGTTGGGACAATGAAGTAATACTGAATAATGCCAGATATGATAGAAGTAAATACAAGATGTTAAATGAGTATAGTCTAGTTTTCAAGAGTTAGGATGTTAGCAGGAGGCAGGATACATTCAATAATGCAGATTTCAGACTGGTGTAAAACAGTGGGAAATCTCAAAATTTAATCTATGCAAATGATCTCCATTCTAAAAGGTTAATATTGAAAATGTTATTATTTCTGTCTGTTAATAATATTGCAAAAAAATAATATTGCAACATCATACTCATTGTTTACCTAACAATAAGCTAACATAAAGATCACATTTTGCCAGATCTTTTAATCTTGAGTTTGACAAGAAATGAAGCACTAATATTTTCTCCTGCCTGATGCTTGAAATAGAATATGGTGACCTGAAATCTTAAAGAAACAAGAACTGTCATCAAGAAAAAGTTCTATGAAAGTATGATGATTCATGTAACTAAGAAAAGGATGCTAAATGTGACAGCAAAAGCCAAAGGGGGCAAGGAATGGGTAGAGAGATTTACCTATCTACTGGGCGCTATCAGTACACCTTCCAAAAAAGTAGTCTGTGAGTGATAAAAAGATGAGAGTAGTATTAAAATTTATTGTAGCTAAATGTATAAATCATATTAACCTCTATGCTACTATATTTTAGGAACTTGTGTTAAGCATTCTGTTCATATACATATTAAATCATTTAATAATAATATAAAATAATAATTATCATATTATTATTTGGTGCCAGGGGATGGAACTCAGGACCTTTCTCTTGCCAGGAAGGCACTTAAGCCACTGAGGTATCTCTCTGGCTTTAATTTTTCTTATAACTCTGTAAGTCACATACTTCCTTCTTTTCAAGAGCTGAAGACACTAAGGCAAGGGAAATGAAGCATTTTTCCTTTTCTTTCCAGCTGTAATAATTTATATCCCCTGTGCCTATTTTTTAATCCTAAGTCTTTATAACTCTCCAGCATTCTATATATTTTATTGCTTATTCTATTACTGCCTTTCTCCTGAGTGTAAGCTCTGTGAGCACACAGGATATAACAGTCATTATAACAGACATATGTCCTTGCAATTTTGTGTTCCTTAATGGATGTTTTCTTGTCACATCACCTTTGCCTTCCATGGGACAACATGCAGAACCCTATAAGTGCTCAAGTCAAGACTACTGGCTGAACAGATGGATGAAAACAACTGATTGGTGAGCATGTATGGAGCCCTTGCCAAACTTGGCACTCAATTGGTTCCTGTAAGATAGGAAAGCGCAAAACACAGTATCTACTGTGAAAGAAATTAGCACTGAAGAATGGAAATAAGGCAGAAACATGAGGAATTTCTGGAGCATAAAGTAAGACGTCTTTATCTTTCAGTACTTTCCTTCTTCAATCTGTTAATGATGTCTTAAAGTGCCTGGTTCTACCAAGAGTGCACAGTACACAGTTGCATTATTAAGCTTTCTTGGAAATGCCTGCACTGTTCACAGTTCTATGCTTCTGTATGCACTGTTCCCTGGGCGTAGAAAGATTTTCTCAAAGCACTTTTCTATTCTCCTCAGAGTTATTTGTTTTTTCTTCTCCTTAGTACTGCTTCTAAGTGTAACAATAATTGATATACTTTACTTTATAATGTATATATGTAGTTCTTGTTTCATGTATCTTTGTCAATGTGGTATTAAAATCATGCATCTAAAGTTGAATTTTTCTCACCTTTTACAATAATAAAGAACTTATTTTACTCCCTTAAAGTATAACCATAGATAGAAAAGTGCCTGTGAATGATTACGTTAAAATCACTGAACAGTACACAAACACATATAAGGGGTTTAGTTGCAGGTGTGTATTGAATCCAAACTGTAGAATGAACACAATCTACTTTTCTTATTCTATTTTCAGCACAATTTCTAGATTCAGGGAATGTCCTCTGTACCTAAAAGAGATCCTGGCACATAAATAATGACTTGTTAACTTATAAATGAATGGCCTATGTACAAACCATGTCAATTAAATACTAAAAGGCATGGCATGAACAAAATATGCCATGGCAAGTAACCTAACAGTGGACTCAGGGTAAGAGTTTGTTACCTGCAATTTTTAGCTATGTAACTAGGCAAGACACTTAAAGTGAGCTTTAATTTGTAAAATTAATAGATTGGACCAGGTCAGTATTATTCAACTATTATATCAGTATTCTACTATCAAATGAAATACAAATGGAACTCCATTATGTAAAACAGAAAAAGGAACTTGCTAGCAAAAAGTTATTATTTATAAGATAAAATTTATAAGATAAAACTGCATTACTTATTAAAGTCCATCAATAAGAATGGACTATTTAGGCTAAGAAAAAGTATGAAGCCATGGGATGTTGGTGATAACTGAAATTTTAAATCTTCATAAATTAAATTTTTTTTTGTTTTTCAGTATTGACACAATTCTAATTAACAAAACGTGTTTTAAAATGGTAACAACTATTTAAAACAGCTAATTTGGCAAAATTAAGATTTCAGCAATTAAAATGGTCCAGATGCTTGAGGGAAGAGTAAGGGAAATTTTTTTTTCAATAACTAAGTGACTATATTTAATTACGATTCATGTTTCTACTTGTGAATATAAAAATGGGCAAGAACTACCCAAAGCTAATTATATTACTTACTAAAATCTACCAAGAATAATGGCTATTGATTAATAAAAATATGATCAAGAAATAAGACAAATATAATCTTGACTCATTTTCAAACCATTAAGCAAGACAACTTTCTCCAACATAATGTTCTCTTAACATGCCACAGCAAAAATCGTGATGAGTGGTAAGGATATGTGACAAAGATGCCCATGCATCTTATTTGTATTTATTCATGTGGCACACATATTCTGCAATAATGTTCTTGCTTGCTTAATTTGATTTGTACATGCTTTACTGGAGCTAAGCTTTAAAAAGACTAACTATAACCTTGAAAATAAAAAGAAATACTTATAAGAAGTTTAAGTATTCACATGAACATCAGCAGAGAAACTTTAGCCAGTAGCCCATAAAAACATAAACTAGTGGGGCTGGGAAGATGGCTCAGTAGAATAAGCACTTCCCTGGCAAGTGCAAGGGCCTGAGTTCAATGCCCGGTTCTGCCAAAAAAACAAAACAAAATAAAACAAAAAAACAACAAAAAAACCCTAGTAGTTTATTTTTGTCTTATGTCCTTTAATGTGTCACAATTTGTCATTAAATAGTTGAAAGTGGGTGTTATTTTTATTACAGACTAACATACCTAGGTTTTAAAGATTTGAATGTCATGTCTAACATTTAGAAAATATTGAAGAACCTCAAGCAACTGGATGTTCTTTCTGGTCCTTCTGGTTCTATACCTATATAACGTAAAAAAGCTAAAAAGATTTTTCAATTCAATTTTGTACACATTTACTGAGATTCAACACCCATAGGACAGGAAAGAACTTGATCAGATAGAGTTAGAGAACATAGGTATAACAAGGAATATAGCTATTAAAAACATCAATCTTCCTAGTACAGGTTTAATCTTTATGTACGTAAGTTAAAATCAACTTTGGTAGCAAAGAGTACCAAAAGAGTACATGAAATCGCTAACAGCACTGGTGCTGTAGTGTATCTAATTTATAGAAGAGAATTTTACTCCTATAGTCATTTTTTTATAGACATTTGTCAGCCATAGAATAACTTCAGTGATTATTTACATTAACATATTTTGAGGAAGCTCTTAACTAATTT